ACAGTTCATGTGGGGACTCACCCAAAAACATGAGAACAAGATAAATGTACAGGAAGTAAGAGAAGCTGACAGAGGTGCCGATCACTTTAGTCAGAGGAATGCTGAAGAGTTTAGATTCATCAAAGATGGGGATGGACTGGATCACTGCAAGAGCTACGTGGGATTGAGAGATAAGAGTATATATAAAAGAGTCTATAAACATGTTTGCATGTTTTTTATATCAAATTTTGTTTTAAAAAAAAAGCCTACCTTCAGCTAAAACACCTAGTGGATACAGTGGCATCCAGACAGTATACCGCAGCCAAGTGAGGGTTTTCCACTCTGTATTGAAACAGCCCAGCATGTAAAAGGGATACCTGAAAAAGGATGAGCATGTTGGTTAAGGGGAAAAAAAGTCATGCTCCAAATAAAATGACACAAAGTTGCATCCACAGTTACACATTCTTATAAAATTATAGCTCAGATGCGACTGCTACTTGCCTGTTTCAAGGCTGAAATGTGAATAAAATCTAACAAAAACTGTAACTTCCAAACATTTGCAAAGCTCTAAATCTTATCCAATTTTAGTTTTATTTAAATACAACTGGCTAAAGCTGTACTATATATCACTAGATGACTGTTTACTGTAAACAATAGGAAAATGCATACTTGCCTAAAAATCTCAATAGCACTCCACAGATAGAAAACAAAGAACACAACTGGCTTGTGGTGCATTTCCTCCAGACTACCAAAAATGATGAAGAGGATAAAATTCCTTCCGACCACCTAGTGCACAAACAAAAGATGTGTATTGGTGCTCAATCTGTAACTTTAGGAAACTTGAACTCAGGCAAAAAAAAACAAAAAAACATCCCATACCTGTATAAGAGTTGGTATAACACCTGTCTTGACTACACCAAAAGCAGCATTCAGGACCTCTACTGATGCCAGGATCTGGCAGAAGAACATCACATCCGAAATTGTGTGAAATGTGTCATAGAGGGAATCTGAAAAGAGTTTTAGAACGGACATGTTTTAACCAGTTTTCTGGGAAGCAAGTGACACTTTCAGCTTCTCCTGTGTAATATATTTTCACACCTATGCCAATGATAAACAGGCGCACTGTCATGTTGACAAAGATCCATGAAAAACCAAGAAACTGGACCAGGTTGTACACAATCAAGAACACAGTTTTCAGGCTGACGAACCCTGAAATATTTCAAAGAAATTGGAAAATAGTATCAGCAGTTTTCCTTTCAAAGCTATCTGATAAAACAGAATGTTCAAGTGCAATATATTATCTGCACCCACCTTCTTCTTTTTGTCTTGAAGCCTTCAGCCTGTTCTTTTTCTCCTCCTTTTAAAAGTATTTAAAAAATGAAAATATTAGAGTCTTTAATCAATTATTTTAGTCATACTGACATTTTTTAATCTTTATCTGCGAGTGTCATTTAGTAACAATTGTCAAATGCCAAGTTGTACTCCTACCTTTTCTCTGATTTCCATCTCAGCGTCTGACTCGTCCAGCCAGCGATCAAAGTCCGGTGCCAGGAAGACAGGTTTACGCTCCTGGACAGTCAGCCTTTCCCACCAACCTCGCTGTATTTTGTGCACTATAATGTTCACCTGCCGCTGTGTGGACTTGTAGCTGACCTACAGGTTCACGCAATGAGCACAAACAGGAAAACCACAGAAAGGAAAGGAAAAGATTTAAGAGCAATCTTAAAGTTATTCTGTCTATAGATATATTTCTGATCCCACAAGATAAATTATATAATTACTCAAGATACCTGTGGCTTTACTGGTAAGAGGAACTCCAAGCTGAACTTGTACTCATTTTGTCCTTTTGCACCATGCCCCTGGGCTACAAACAGGATATCACAAATGAAATGCCACAAAAAAATTTTTAAAAATATGTCTTTAATCACCAAATGCAAATGAAATCCGTGAATCCATGTTACCTGAAAAGTGAAGGACATTTTCATCCACGTGGACGTCAATATTCTGCAAAAACACAGGCAAAGGATAAGCATACTTCCTCGCTAGATCAAGAATTTTTTTACTTCCTGTTAACAGAAACCCGAAACAAAGATCTTAATCTTATGTTACAATATAACCGTGACAAACTACATTCCAAAACACATAGGATATTTAATTACCAGGTAAAATAAGTGCTTAAAAAGTCTCTAACCTGAATCTTCTGTTACATGATCAGAAATAGAGTTAAGTGCTATAAAAAGAAGAAAAAAACGAGTGCTGAGAGGCCCTCCTGTAGCATGTAGTATGGGATGATGTGATATCATGTGTGTAACAACACCTGTCCCTCACACATAACCCCACGAGCGCCGCGTGTGAACGATGCTACCACCCCCACCCACCCCGCCTTCCGAGTAGTTCCAACAGGTATTTTTAGGACTTTTCACCCATGTGATTAACTGTTAACACAAATATTCTTAAAATCAACAGGTTTTAAAAACAGGTTCGAACAGGTTGTGTGGCTTTAGACGTACCACATATTGAACGAAGGGCCTCAACAGAGAGCTTTGTATGGAACAGTTATCACATAAGAGATCTCAGCTCTCATACAGTATGCAAATAGTACAGCTATCCAGCAGGATAACGTTTACAGGAACCTTTCGTCTGTATTTGCATTGCTTCCCATTTACCATCAGAGGCCCAAAAACAATGTTTAAAAAAAAAAAAAAGTCAGAACCATGCTAAAGCGTTTTGCCCGTGACAAGCAACTGCAGGAGGGACTCTCACCTGAACATCTGTCAGCTCAACTCGCAGGTAAATGTCTTCATGGCGTTGAGCCCAATAAACAAGAGGTGTGAGTGCCATTATTGCGTTTTTGATCTGTTTTTTTAATCGGGCAAATATCAGTGAGGCAAACAATAAATGAACGCTCCACGCTTCATGCTAGCTGCCCTGGAAGGACTTTAGCAATTACCCAGAATATTCTTCGAACGTGCGCGCTCTCCACTGATCAGTGCTGAGACGCGCTCGTGCAGGAGGCACAAACGTTAGACGTGCTCTTCCCTGATTGGCTAAGTGAATATTTACGGAAGTGTCACAGGAACGCGACAGCTTGTCTAATTTTTCTTTTGGCAATAGGCTGACAGGCAGCAAGACGACCATATGTCAAGTTTAAAAACTGATTTGTTGAAAACTTCCGGGACATTTAATGTCCTTGTTGGAGTGACAGGAAGCGTTGCAGCCTTGAAACTGCCTTTTATGGTCTCCCAGCTTCTTGAACTCTCCGGGGTGAGCTGCTTCATATTAATTAATGTTTGCATATCATGAATGTTTCTATTTTCCCCGTACATAGTTAGCAAATAATAGCACAAGCACCTATATACATTTATTGTTTATCTAAGTGGCAAAATACGCATAAGCTTACCTTTACCGCAAGATGGGGATGTTAGGCAGCATCGCTACAAACGCAGTATATTCTAGTTATTATAGCTCTTTTATCCAGTCGCAGAAAAAAAAGTCTTAGACTGATAAACAGAGCAAATCTGAGCCAGCAATATCTGCATGTTAATTAAAAACCACAATGGTCGTCCATGAAAATAGAGAAAACGACATTTGAAGACGTAAATGTTAAACGGGGATAATATATGACAGTGTTGGTATTAGTGTGGGAAAGGTTTTGCAATATACTAAATAAAGTGTGTTAGGACTTTTGTAGTAAACAGGGTGAGGAAGCTATGCGTTTGCATAGCAATGCAAATAATTTTAAATTGTATGTGTAATAGCTAATACCTGTAGAGAGAAATATTTGGCCTGTCAAACTAAGAATAATTGCTTCATTTGAGTTTAACATGCGAGAATATGCATGGATGCACATCCCATGGAGCAGAGAGACGTAATGCCCCAATCAGTCAATTTAATTTCCAACAAAATGATGTGGGATCACGGATGTCACTGGAAGCAGTAATGTCTTGTAAACATCATTCTTTTTTTTATTATTAAACAGTCAGTTGTAGGAAAATCTTCTCTGTAACAACTAGTATGACGTATTTATTTACTTGAGAAAGAATGAACACTTCACCTGCTCAAGCCCTGCTAATTATAAAACAATTGATGAATTAATTCAAGCATACTAGTGGTAAAGGCAATCAAATACCTACAGTTGTTTAAAAATACTCTATAATAATGTAAAAACTTAGAGTAAACAGAAATTCATACCAATGTAGACTCTATCTGCACTCACTGGCTACTTTGTTAGGTACACCAATTAAGCTGCTTTTTAATGCAAATATCTATTTAGCCAATCCCATGGCAGCAACTCAAGCATTTAGGCATGTAGACATGGTCAAGATTACCTGCTTAACTTCATCTGAACATCCGAATGGCAATGAAAAGTGATTTAAGTGACTTTGAACGTGGCATGTTTGTGGGCCGCAAACAGGTTGTTCTGAGTATTTCAGGAACTGCTGATCTACTGGTATTTTCCCACTCAATTATCTCTAGGGTTTACAGAGAATAGCCCAAAAAAGAGAAAATGTCCAGTGAATGGCAGCTTTCTTGGTGAAAATGCATTTGTGATGTCCAGGGTTAGAGGAGAGTAATTCAAAAACCTCATGTTACAACCATGGTACTAGAAGAGTATCTCTCAATGCATAACTCATCAAACCTTAGCCAAAACCCCACCCTGTGCCATGCCTGTCAGCTAGACATTGAAAAATGAGGCTACAGTTCATACAGACTCACCAAAATTGGACAGCAGAAGTTTGGAAAAATGTTCAAATGGTAGGGTGAGAAATTGGCATTGTAACCGGAAGGTCACCGGTTCGATCCCTGGGCTCTCTGTCCTGGTCGTTGTGTCCTTGGGCAAGACACTTTACCCTACCGCCTACTGGTG